TTAAGCTGTGTACACATGGGTCCTCTTTCATACAGTCCTCGTGTCCAGTACGTTCAAACGGTTGAAGGCGGTTCCAGTCAAGGAGGCTGGCGAACAACTTCCAGTTGATGGTCCGCGGAGCATCACTGTGTCTCGAAGTGGCCGGCTCGACTAACTTGCTATCAGCACTGGCAAAGTTCGGCCCACGAGCCACGTCAAAGAGTTCTTCACGCAGCTCTTCATCGAGCGGAGGATCGAACTCCTCATAAACGGCATGCACCAAGTCCTCGGCAATAAACTTTTCCTAGAGAACACAATTAGGCGCATGAGAGATAAAACAGCTGGCGTCCATAATGGATTAGCAATAGCTGCTGAGAAATGGAGTTCAAGTACAGGATCGGTTGTAAAGAAGAAAAAAAATTAGCATGTGCGTAACTAAATGTAATGTAACAAACTCAAACTAGACTAAATTCATTTTCAGGGAATTGAAACAAGCCATGCGGGAACAATGACGATTTATTCAAAGGTACCTAAACTTGTGCAGAAGAGAACGCAGCCAACCTTTTGAACAGAGTGTAAATATTAATTGAAATTGCGCCTTGTAGCTGTTCCGACTTTCGAGTACTTGCCAAGTGTTCTTTACGAATGCAAGTGAACTTAATCTGAGGGGTTCGGAAATTGAGAACTCCTTCAAAAATAGGTCTTTGTGATAAAACCCCTCCAGATTTGAATATACTCCTTCTTTGAAATGAAACTTTGCATCCTTTTACTTCGATTGTCGCAGTGAACAGTGCGTAAAGTTTCGCTTGAACGTTTTGTTAGCGTAGCACTGCGTGCTTATTGTAGCAAATAAAGAGTGCCTACTTATAAAGATTAAGTAGGACCATTCAAGTGTTTGTTCTGAAGATTTGCATCAATGGTGTACGGCAAGGCAATACTCCCAAAAATCCCGACTTACTCCATTAGCCAATTGACAGAGAACTGCAGTTATTTCCGGTCCCCGTTTAAATAAATGGTGCCGCAGCCGTTGTTTGAGAGTGGCCCGTAGGATAGCCTCCCGTTCAGCGAGGGTCACACACGCTCTGTCAGCCTCGGGACTGTCGTTCATTGGTTTTGCCGTGGGGGCCGTCAGACCAAGAAGATGCATGTACGCGTGTCCACGCAAAAGCTGACCGACAGATCCATTGCCATTTGGAGCAGGCTTACCAAAGGTGAAGTCTTTTGGCACATTCAGTGTGTCCCGAATTCTGCAGGTGAAGAAAATTATATGGCGTGTCAATAAGATCTTTGGAATCTCTTCCAGAAGCAGTTCTGTAAACTGTGACTAAACATCTGTAAAGTTTCTACTAGACGCGCTGTTTAAAGAACCTCAGTGTAGGACTCTCTTTAGAGGTCCTACTTGCCTTTGACTTATAATAAGAAACTACTTTACATTTTGCGGTAGCCCAACTTTCCTTTTTATTGTAAGGTCAAATTTCCATCAATGGGCATCAGTTGCCTGAGCAACAGGAGTTTATGTTGATGGATTTGGTTCTATTTAGCTCAGTAAAACAACTAAATGTGGCTTTAATTTAATAGTCTTTGGTTACTTTCAAAACAATTACATATTCATTTACACTCGTTAACCAAGAATAAAATGTTTAACCACCGATTCCATAAGACAGTTGGGCGACAGGAATGTATGTTTAGACAGCCTTACGAGTCAGTTTTGTCAACCTATATATGCAAAAGTATGCAAGTTAGAAAAAGAAAGCCGGAAATAAACTTTCAACTCATGCGAGCAAAACATAAGACTTGCCTATCTAACGTCCTCCCCAGTTGGGAGTGATTTCTATCAAAGTATTCCATGAGCCGCTCAGACGCCATTGGAATCCGCTGGGTCTCTTTACTTGACCAATCCATAGCTTGTCTTGCATATTTCCCAGTAATATCGGCTCCACTGGGAATTCCGTACATTTTGTTTGAATCGAAACTGAAAATAAATACACACACTGCTAATTCCTCAGTGTCACAAATGCTGCCATATTTTCAGAAGAAATTAAATGCGGCATATGCCGCAGATGATCGCGATTGAATTTAAAAAAAGCTTCTTCTCATTAGTTTGGCACCGTTTAATCCTAAAAGTATGAGCACTCGGCACTTGGGCTTCGCGTCGTGAGATCTGCCTAGAGTTGTAAGGAAACGCAAAGTGTTTATTTCCTTAGCCTTTCTACTGCTAACTGGGCAAGGGATGGAATATAGGGCGTGTGCAATATAACACAATTGCCCGGTAATATAAATTTTCGCGGTCGCTGTAACTACATCTTCAACTTCTTAAGCGCTAACACTAACATCTCCCATGGTGCCAACACCATTTTCAACAAATTCAATTAGGATTCTAACCTTGAGGTCCTGTGCCCCAAACCGCCAGCCAACCGTTTGTATGGAACCGACTGAAGAGTAATAATCGGTCGGAGGCAGAAGTAAAAACAGAAGGTGGTGATATGAAAGCAATGCAGCCGACGCATTGTGGACTGACGAAAGTTGTCAACCGTGAAGATAAAATAATGCTACTGAGACCGGTTAGACGACACTAACGGTAGTGCCTTAACCTACCGCTACCTCGGTTGGATGTACCCACCCTAAAATACCATTGTTACTAATAGTAAGCGAGTAACATACAATTGGGGTTCCAATTAG